ATTCATTTGTCTAGAAGATACTAAAACCCTTCATCGGTGATGAACTGCTTTCTCTGGTGTGTCCCAGCCTACCATAAATCATCACTGGCTTTGGGCCCATGACGGTGAGTTATATGTATTAACAGTCTTGGGTCTAAGCCGACGTTCCTTGCCAAAAATAGTGTATTTGTGTCATTTTTCAACACAAATTAGTAGCTGCTGTAGAATCATTTTATTTTGCTCCACACTTCCATCTCTGGAGTAGGGTTTCTTAAACAAATACAGCTCTTTCAACACTGTGAAGCTGATCGGGAAAGTGTGCTTGTATACTGGTTTTCACTTGTGTAAATAGACCCTTTTAAGTAAAGGGGACTGCTTGCCTTGAGCAGACCCGACTAGTCAGGCTCTCAGGACTGCCGGAGTCTATCCATCCCTCCCTTCCTTGGGGCTGGAATAGTACTTGATATTAAATAAGTTAATTAAGTTATTTAAAGAAACCTGAAGTTCTGCTTATATTCACTGTATGTAAAATACTCTTTTGCTTGTAACTTACTAGGGCACAATAGTCAGAATTTTGGGGACACGTGCACACAAGATATCATTGAAATATGTCATATCTCAATGTGAAATATTCTAGTTGGGGAAAAAAACCATATGTATGAGAAGATGTCATTGTAGGGTGGAGTTTTTTTTTCAGGGTCCTAAGTGGTTTGTGAGAATGGTAGGATTGGAGGGCCCTTTGTACTGCTGCTGCTACTACTTTATTTTTGGTGTGGGAAACATTGTGAAACTAATGATCAGAAATCAGGACACAAATCAAGAAGTTCACCAGGTAAATCCTGACAGGAATTTATGTTTCCACAGATATCTTTCATTGTCACTTAACTGTATAAACTATATTCTTGATGGTTTGTCATTGACTGATGCTTTAAGCCTGCATTTTCAGTTAGGCAGGCATACTACTCTAAAGTACAACATGGTTTAGGGCAATAAAAATAAGTTTAATCTCTGAGTAAAAAAGGAGAGACATTCTATAAATATGTCACAAAGTACTTGTTTATTTGAAAATTATTCTAAAAAGTAGAGGATTTATATTTCAAGGTCCTTTTTTTTTTTCCTTTTTTTAAGTAGTCCCTCTGGATGTTAAGTACTCTTGATTTTTAAAATTTTCAGAGAGGGCAGAAGGAGGAAAATGAAAAGGGAGTGATACTGCAAATACCAGTTTTCCAGACCGTTTCCTCTTTTGTTTTTTGAGCATCTGTTACTATACCCAGAGACTATAATACTTACTGCATAATGAAGTATCTCTTAATATTATCATAGTAGTTACACTACAAATATGTCATTCAGTGTTTTTAGTGGTTAGCAATCCTGACAGCAAAGGCAATCTCTAGTCTTTATTTGTAGTAGCTTAACAGAAATTGGGAAATTACAAGTAAGCAATATATGAGCAAAATGTACTGCAGTATAACTTGCAATATTTTTTTGCCTTTATGAAAGACAAGCTGCCATTTCACTGACATGTTTACAGTAATAAGCTTTACAATATGAATGAGTCGTCCTGACACAAATGCTTACAAACTTTGGACCTTCTTCAGCTTCACTAAAGTTGGAAGGAACAATTTTATTATTAATTTGATAGTTAGGAGGATACTGAGTTTTCTGAATGTGTATAAAATGTATTCTGCAAATTACTAAACAGCCTAACTTGCTCTAGTGTTTGTCAGTTTAAAAAACAACTTTGCTGGAGACAAATTTTAAGCCTGATTGTGGAGGGAACTTGAACTGATGATTTGAAAGTAAAAGATTTCTAGCGATGGTATGAGATATCTAGTCCTTCAATAAGTATTCATCACCCACAGTTTATTTTTGTTGTTACTGTTGCACACTTCCTAAATGTTATCTCTGTGTGTGTATTTCTACCCTTTCTGACTAGCCATTATGACACAATCTTTAAGTACTTGATCATAGGCTACCTTTTGTTAAGCTCATCCTTTGAAGGAGACCTTTTCAGTTCAGACACATACTTTCTCCCCTTAAAGAACTAATTAGTAACAAAAGGTTCTTGTGTGATATAGACAAATAATTTTGTGTGTCTGTAAGGTATTTTACCAATGCACATATGTTCTTTCTGTACTTTGAGCCAACCAACTGAAAACCATCTCTGTACAATACAATGTAGAGATAAATTAATGTGATGTCAAGCTAAAGCTAATAAGCACTGCTAAGAGGCAGGGTGTATTAGCATAGTATTGAACCCAAGTTGATATATCAACATGGCTTTCCCTCACCTTGAACTGTATGGAGAGCTATTTGCATTTTCCTCCAAAATCTTGTGTGACATGCTAGTGGACTGGCATCCATGCTAGTGGACTGGCTCCTATGAAAGCCAGATATACTTTATGAGAGAACAGTGAAGATAGTGAGGTATTACTTTCCATGTCTTCTCAGCAGTGTAATTCTGACTGCAGCAGTGTTTGCAGATACTGTAGCTGTCCATGTTGCTAAGTTGCTTTAGCCTTTTCATCCTGAAAATCAGTACGGTAATGAAGATGAAGCTCGGCCTCTACATAATTCACACTAAATGTTTGTTCCAAAATACATATTATGCTTATAGTCAGTAGAAGAATGCTGACCAGAAAAGTAGTAGTAGTCTCTCAAAAGAGATGCACTGCTGTTTTCAGTCTCAGAACTTCATACTTTCAGCACAGTGACTCTTATACCAGAGTCCTTCGTATTTGTGTAGGCATGATCTTTTCACTTGAGATGTAATAAGGCATGACAGAACTGCACAATAGAGGAGGGTTGTGCTAGATGCCTGAAGCCTGGCAGATCTGGAACCGATCTCTAAAACAGAAGTCTATGGAAGGGCTTTGCTCCAAGAGAAGGACAACTTCTTCCTTCTCTCCTTCTTCACTTAAAAGTAATAACAAAAAAAAAAACTAGGGGGTGATGAAATCATTAGTTATAGAAGGACAGGTGCCTGACCATGTGAGAGACAGTAATAACATTCATTATAAATGTGTGCCATTGGAGCACACATTTGGCAAGCTTTGGCAAAGTGAATCAAAACAGTAGGTCACTCTAAGATGAGTTCCACAGTACCATTACTTCTCACTAAGAAATGAATCATGAAATCTGGGATAGTTCTGACTTGTCTAAAGGCCTAAATAGTAGCAAAGATGAGGCTGCAGATAGAAAAAGTGTGAAAGAATAGTGTTTTTCAAAAAGATTGCTGTATATGTCAAATGAATATATACAGAAGGAAGAAAGAATACAGTGCTTTCACACTTCTAACATATCTAATTGATAATATTAAGTAGTTCAATATGGCTTTTAGATTAATATAGTCATTTTTAAAGAACAGTTATGACAACCAAACAAGTTCTTTTTTTATGTGGGAAGTTCTGTATAGAAAATGGTATAAAATACAGAATAATACAGCTTATGTGTTAGAATTGCGGTGGCAGCATTAAAACAATATGGTCAAAGCAGTAATCACAATTTGTGATAGGCTTGTTTACAAACATGGTTTCTAAATTTCATTTTCTTCAGAATCAAAAAGTTTAAAATCAACTAATATTTCTAGATGTATGTATGCATGTAATAAATGTCTAATTTCTGAATGCTTTTTCCCTTTATATTCCATTTACAGACAACTTTAAGACTTACAGTTGTTATTCCTGATTAAAATACAATATTGTAAAGCATCAACAGAATTTACCATATTTTCTTAAAGGAATGGTGATATGCTTTTTAAATCAGAATGATGCTCTAATCCTTCAAATGTATAAATTGTCGAGTCGTGCATATTGTTATTAAATTTGCAGTTTGTTCACAGTCATGTATCATTTTATAATATTTAAACCTTTCTGCGACTTTCTGCTGAGAGATAAGCTTTAGAGCTAAACTGTTCTTCAAGACAAGCTATGCTTATGTTCTGCTGGTAGGCATATTATTTTGATCCAACAGGAAAATGGTTTCAGGCTCCAAAAAATTCTAGTCATTTAAAACAGCTTGATTCTTTAAGTACTTCGTACCTGAAAATTGAAACAGTAAATATAATCAAGGTTTATCAAGTAAATTAGAGGCACAGGCTTGTGAAAGGATGTTCTGAGTGAGCTGATGAGTGCTCTCACCTCCTCCAGTGAAGGTGCTTGTTGTCTCTTGTGTCTGAGTTGTACTTGTCATTGGAGATTGGCAGCCACCTTTCATAGGCTAGGTCCCTTCAGTTTCTGCTGACTTTGGGTGAAATAGCAGATACTCAGCATGATCAGAGGGAAATGGGGAAGTTGCAGTATAAATCCCCTCGCTTTCTACTGTTCTGATTCTCCAGCCGCAGACATTCCTTAATTCATCTTGACTTCAGCAATCCTCAGAATAGCTTAAGTGTTTGGTTTGAGTCTTAGACTAATCACCCTCAAAGGAGACTGCTGAATTTGAAAGAGGATAATTTGTCTAAGAAGTCTCTGCCAGATATCTCTAGATGGAGTGGTTTCTATTGCAGCTGTTCCATATGTTTCTATTTTTCTATATTAAGTGTTAGGCTCCTCTTTAATGGAGTTCTAATGTTTTCCAGTGGGCACTTGATAGCAAAGAATAATAATAAAAAATGTATTAAAGATGAATTTCAAGCAATTTTAAAACATGAGGAAGACTTCATTGTTAAAAATAAAGGCTGATGATAAAATTACAATTTTTACTTGGAACGTAAGGAGAGCCTCGAGTACTTGATACATAAAGAAAACATGTTTTGAGAAAGCATCAATATTTATCCGTTTTTGAATTTAATTCCTTTGTGATAGCCCTGTAACACAGTGGATATACATTCTATTCTCATGAAGTGTGTACCATAATGGTATTCTCATCTTTTAAAATAGGGTTGGAGTTTCATTGTAGGGTTTTTTTTCCTGTCAAATCCTATATAAAGTTTTTTTTGTTTGTTTATTTGCAGCATAGTCTATAGGTGTCATTACTGACTGAGAAGCTGAAATTATTTTTTCCCTGTGAAAGCTGGAAAAATGTTCAAAAATCACTATCAGGTAAAACAAAAATGGGTTTTTGCTGAAACTCTTCACCTTTGAGAGAACTCAGTTAAAGTGGCTTATTCTGGAGGGCAAATAGTCCTGATACAGAAAAGTTTTGGAATGTTTAATTATTCGATATTTGTGCATGAAAAAGTGGGTAGCTGCTGATGCTGTTAGGCGTGGAATGGACGCTGACACGGTGATATCAATGACTTTTCTTGTCTATCTGTTCCCTTACGGGCCAGGGAAGGCACCCCACCCACTCCCAGCCCAGGCATGGAATCAATTCTGAACAGCAGGTTTGGCTTATTCTCCTGGTGTAGCAGAGGATTGCCCAGCAGGTACCCCCAGACAGCACCAGTCACCTCATTTGCAAACCTGATTATCCCTTTTCCTGTTTCTTGGTCTTTTTTTGTCAACCTTTACTTCCCTTTCTCCATACTGGTCTCCTACCCCAAAAAACAACATACCCTTAATTACTTTTTCCCCACTGGTCCCAGGTGTGCTACATGTATAACCAAAACTGGTGTTTCTAATACTGTTACCTAGGCATATATGGTATTACTGATATGGTTACCAAGGTGCTGTTGGCCTTGCAAGGTTATATTCCCCCAAAGGTCCCTGGTACTCCCCTGCAATTATCTGTGGAGTTTGGCCATTCTGTGCTTAATTCCCCCTCAACCACCCGTGAGATCCAGGCCATCCTTCCCAGCGCTATTGGTAACTTGTCAGCGTCTCTCATTGTGGTTTATGTTCAGTAGCTTCTCATGTTACATCCAGTAGTTTTCCATGTCCTCATGGAAAATGGCTCTTAGCCTAACTTGAAGCCAGAGCCTACTCAAGGGCTGCAGCCTTAACAAAATGCATGTGACAGAATGCATGGTTAGCCATGTGACAGAAAGCTGCCAGGTGTGGGTGGGCAGCAGGAAATATTTAATTTAGAAAAGGTGCAATGCTGTTGTTCTCTGACAGCGTGATTTAAAGAACATTTATTTTGTTGGCAAGAATGCTAGCTCTTCTTGCTCATTCCAGCTTATGTACAATTGTTTGGGCAGCTGAGCATAAGCTGGGTTGGGGAGTGCATGCAACAAGGAATGAGAAGAGAGAGTTGTGCTATCTGATTAGGTCAACAGTACTGCTGAAAAAAATACTTACCAAACTATAGCCTGAGTACATCAGAAGACATTTTTGTGTGATATCAAATGAGCAAAATACTGAAACAAATTTTTCTGTAAGCAGCAGAGTTGATAAAGCCTACCTTCCTAATACAGCCTATGGTTAGATTCTTTGATGTCTAATAGAGTGTGTGCTCTGCATAAGGAGTTTTCACTTGGCTGGGGTATTCATGTCTCTCTACAGTATTAATTCTCTGATGTCTAATAAAGGCTGCAGCATGAGCAGAGCCCTTATCTTGTTGTGGGGGTATTGATAGGATCTCTCTTCTACTTGGCCACTTAAATCAGCACCTAAAAGATACTAGATAATTACAAGTTTCATGAAGCTTCCTGTTAAATCTGGTTGGAGTTTGATAAGTAGTTAAAAAGTTAGGGGGAAATGTCTTTGACGTACTCACGCATATAGACAGAGACAGTTGGATTGTGTAAACTTAATTTCCTTAGGAAATCAGACCAAAACATCAAATCTGACACAAATTTTCGTTTGATCATTTACTATGTTTTAAAAACTCACTTTATCGGGTGAGATGTAGAAATAAAACCTTTCTAAAAATAAATTACTAATCTGCTGCATATTTTAAGTATTTTTACAATAGTTTTGCCTTTTAAAGACATTACAAATAAAATAATTAAAATTGTAAGTGTTCTGCGTATATCCCTTCAGCTTTATGCTCTGATCCTCTAGTAAAGTCAAGTATTGACCATAGGAATTCCTATATTACAGTAGTCCAGAAGCTGGTATTAATATGCTGCAGTCTGACTGATCAATAATACTGACTCTGATTACCACAGACTGATGTGGGGACGGATTGTTCTAATATTCTCAGCTTGAACAGTGGTGATTCTATACTGAACGCTTGGCTGGGTGATGCATCCTTAAACCATTTTATTACAGGGTGGTGCGTTTGTTGAAATATTCAGTGCTCAAGGCAAGAACCCCGGTGCACAGTGGAAGATTTCTGGCAATCCATCAGCTATATGGAAAGTAAGTCTTATAAGAAGCTTAAAAAACCCCAGAGTATGAAACACAGAAAAATGTGAATGAAGCTTAAAATTAGAAGGTAAGGAGGTTTTTGCCCTGACTCTGGAGTTGTCATTTGCAGTTCTGTCATTATGACAGACTAAATGACCACTTAAATTAGTACTTTATACCTGCTTGCAAACTAGAGCGGTCACAGCGTAATTTTATAACTTAAATATTTTAGAGAGGTTCAAAGCTTAAAGTAATTTTGCTCTCCCGATAACTAATGAATTGGATCAGGCCCATTGGATCATGAATTATGTTTGTCAGCATTGTTTGCTCATAAAACATACAAGTAAAGGACAAGTTTTTACAGATTATGTTATTACCATCACCTCTGAACTACTATCACATTTTCCATGCAGGGTCCTATATGCCAAATTTTACTGCTGTATTTAAAAAATAAGCAGCTTTGGATGTTAGCGGCATGTCTTTTTGTGGGAAGAGGGATTCCATCATGATGTTTGTTTGTTGTTTCATTTGTAGGAGTATGATAAGGAGGTAAAAGGCTTTGTTTTTGTGCTTGAAGGAAGCAGTCAAATTAACAAAATGCAGCTACCAAAGGAAGCTAGGCAAACTCGTAAGTATTGAAGAAATATATGTCTGTGATGTTCTGCTTTTTGTAATAATCTTACGTTGGAATGTAAAACCAATCTTATTCTTCCTTACTTTGGGCTTAATTCACTGTTAGCAAAGTGTTTTTTCATTAACTTTTTTTGCAGATCAGTTGCTACAAATAAGTAAAGGCATAGAAATATCGTATTAAAGTAAGTGCTTTAGGGAGGATCTTGGTTCATATATATTGTCCTAATTTTGTTGAGTTCAGTTCACTTCTGTACCTGATCCTCCTGCAGACTGACATCTGGCAAATAACTTCCAACCCCATTCAGCACCCATTAAAGTCAATAATTTTGTTGGCATCAAAGAATGTTCTATAGATTTGTGTCCCCTTTGTCATCTTATTTTTTAAAATAGTGAGATTTGCCTACATTATGGAGATTTTTGAGGATTCATTTGAGCATGAATGTAAAGTATTATGTTTTGCACAAAAAGCTTTATAAGCTAAGCTTACAGTATTATGGAGGTAATTTTTTTAACAATATGACTGTTTAGAGCCATTTTTCTGGTGTTAGTGGTATTGTAGTGGTTTTGTCTAAGGACAAACAAAAGACAAAATTTGTAGGCAGCATAACTGTTGTAGTAGGAAAAAGCAGATCAACTTTAGGGACAGAAAAGACTGTTGAAAAACTTATCTTTCCATGGTATTTGCCTTTTAACTCCTTTTGTGTCAAATTATGTCTATATTGCAAAGTGATCAGTGTGTGTGAACCTCTTAACCTTATACTCTCTTTGTGTGCTAAAATAATTGAGGATCTAAATACTAAAAAACAGTTAGTACTTCAGAAAAGTAGCATTTGTGATTTAGTCATGCCACCAGTAATCTCTCCAATGCATTTCTTCAAGGAGTTATAAAATATCACTGATCTTTAATACGAAAAGCTAATAATTAGTAGTAATAATTACTACTTGTCAGGTTTATGGTACAGGTATTCACATTTTCCGTATTTATGAATCCTTAGGAATTCCTGTTACATAAGTTCTTTGCAAGGTCCTTTGACCATTCAGGAAAAGACATACCCATCATATCAGAGGTCATCATTAAAGTCCTCTGTAGCCATAAGAGGTTGCTAGATCTCAAAACTGGAGATCGATGGTCTCGGTATGCCGTGAAAATTGTTCTTAAAGGCCAGAGACCCTTTTTCAGTCTCCTTGAACACTGTGTTGCAGCTCTCTGCCCACGGTCCTAACATGGAGGTGGTCGATCTTCAGTGATTCTTCAGAGTCCAAAGTATTAGCTGGATGTGGACAGACTGGGTATCATAGAAGTTCATTTTTACTTATTTTAAAAATTATTGTATTATTCTGATTATAAGAAGAGAAGCAGCATTTGTAAAGAAACTCCAGTACATACATTTGCTACAGACAAGTCTGTAGGTGGGAAGACTTTCATTCTCCTCTCAGGAGGCTGTGGTTCCCATTGCCGTTGAGTCTCCTTTAAAATACATTTTTAAGGAGAGAGATGGTGTCTAAACCATCTACAGGGTATACAACTAGCATCATAATTTATTCCTTAAATTGCACAGCAGGATGTTGTACTTACATAAGGCTTATAGTAATGAACTAAGCTGGTTTAGATTTAACTGCTTACTTTTGAAAAAAAAAAAATTGAGATGGTGACTTTAATTGAATGAAACAGAGGAATCTTCTTATATACTTCTCATACATGGTCCTGTAATTACAAATTAATTTAACTTTTCTCAAACATACACAAAAATAATAAATGAGAGATTGTAAAGTCTGGTCATGCACTAAAGTGTTAAAGATTTATCTGATTTTTGTAAAAGAAATTTAGTATTCTCCTCAGTATTATAAATGTTAGACCAATGTATCTTTCTGAGAAATCCAACTTTAATTTGTTTATTGCCAATATTAAAATAAACTATTGCAGCCTAAAATGAGAATTGAGAATTAGTGTTGTGGATTATCACTGTTAGGAATAGATTGGTTTTAAATTAACTCTAGCTAGTGCTGCAATACTATAGCCATACTTCCATCCATTACCATTCTCTCTGTCTCTGTCTTTTTGTCTCCTTCTCTCTTCAGGAGTATATGCCTCAAATATTTTAGTTCTGTCAGATATACAGTTTGCCAGCTGTACTGTAATCTTTGAATACTCTTCCAAAATGAAAGGCAGCATGTGTACAAATATAATTTGAAATCTTGTTGAAGTGTCATTTTACCCACAAAAGAAGGAAGATCTGAATTAATATCCTTTAGAAAAGGAGCCGATGTTGCTGCTGAGTCCTGTTTAGTCACTAAAGAGGAGCTCATTTCCTTCCTGAACCAATCACTAAGAAAAAAACATAAGGTTCAGTTCAGACAGTCTTGTATTGTTTTTCCTTAATAGGGAGCTACCTGAATCCTAAAAGGTTTCTTGTATTATTCCCTCAGTTAAGCTATATTCTAAATATAAATAAGCTGTGTTTTAAATATCAGAAGCCTCCATTGATCACTGTTGTTATGATCTGGATTGCGTTTATATCAACGGGTTTTTTTAAGTTTGTTTAACGAGGTGTACATTGTCACAAAAGTGAGAGCAAGTTTCTTATGCCTTTAAGATAACCTTGATATGAATATATTAGTTTATTTTATAATTCTTCATGGGATGATTGATGTCTACATGCTCTTGAAACACACTGAAGAATTGCAAGTAAAAAATAAATAGGTTCCGTTTATTTTCATGAGATTTCCACCTTAGCCACAGGTAGGACTTTTATAACAACATTCTTATTACAGTTTGAATTGATTTTCTTCGAAGTTTTTCTTTTCATGTTTGTATGTTCTGTGAGCCTTGAGAAATAGTATTGCAGCACTATAGCTGCATCATTAGTATGCTTGATGGTGAAGTGTGCATCCGCACACAGACAGCATATGTTTAATTTTTTTTCCACTCTGCTTTTAGTTGGACTGATCCAGCAGTTTCTGACACTTCAGATTTTTGTGCCATTGGGACAAGACTTCTCCACTGAGTTACTGTAAGATGCATAACATTTCCTTGCATATTTAATGTGAAGTGCATGCCTGATTGTAGCCATTAATTGTAGTGGCAGATTTTGCGTTAAAGCATAGTGACTTATCAAGTCAATATGAGGTAATTAAGCTAATGAAATCATTATTTCTTGGATGTTTTAAATGCTGACATTCCTCTGAAGGCAAAACAAATTCTAAAAATCATGAATGAAGATGGTGAGAAATCTAGAAGAAAAGGGGTATGAATTTATCAAACAGAGATATATGAAAGTATTGGCTTGTGAGGGTCTCCTGAAAATTCCTAAGAGATTTATAAATGAATATTTCAAGGTACTTTTGTTCAGGGGAAAAAATGTATGTGTTAATTACTTAAAAAAAAAAAGACTAAAGATAAAAAGCTAGAATATTTTGGAGAATTTAATTGGTATAATTCTTTTAACGAAAGAAAGATAAAATAAAACCACACTTTTTTCATTAGTTGGGTGTGGAATGATTTAGTACACTTTTAAGCTTGGGCAATTTGTCTGTCTTTGTTGGACACCATTCCCCCAAACTGGCACCACCTGTTTATAACCAGCAAAACCCACTCTGCTTTGTAGCCAGTAGAACACCTAAGATTTGAATTAACAAAATAAATATTATCTCATTAGAAGCCCTGCAAGAAAAGATGGATTGAGCGATACGCAATTAAACTCAGTAAGTGCAAGCACTGAATTGTGTTTTTGTTTGTCCTTTATGCAACTTTGCATTCATCAGTACCTATATAGGTGCCAGCTTTTATTGTCTTAAATCTTTTGCATCTGCAGTAAGGAGAAACAACTCTTCTAGGTTTAAGTCAAAAAGGGCAGAATGAGATGCGGTCATGTATCGTTCCAGCTATGCCATAGTAGAGAAAGAGAGTTTGTTATAATCTGAATGATCTGTTTCATGATATTAGGATGGTGTACTGCTTTATGTTGAGGATTAACTCTGTTATTTCCTTCGCGTTCAAATATGTAGAGTCATCTTGAAATGTTTTGTTGACAAAGAATACTTCTAATATGAACCGAGTCATTTATTAAACCTAATACTCTTATTCTTGATAGCTTTGTTTGCCTTTTCTTTCTTCCTCTGCACTTCAGGACAGGGATGTACAGCTACTGTCATTCAGCAGTTACACATTTTGCGGTGCTAAAATGTTCTAAAAATAAGGTTTATGTTCCCATTCAATTAACATGACAAATCTTTTATAAAAATAATAATTTTAAAAAATGAAGAAGCCATAGTGATTCAGACTAGGGATCCATTTACCCCAGTATATTGTCCCCAACAGTAGTTGTTGGGGAGATCAACAACAGTAGTTGTTGGGGAGAGCATTGGAACAGGTTGCCCAGAGAGGTGGTGGAGTCTCCTTCGCTGGAGATATTCAAAAGCCGTCTGGACGTGATCCTGGGCAATATGCTCTAGGTGACCCTGCTTGAGCAGGGAGGTTGGACTAGATGATCTCCAGAGGTCCCTTCCAACCTAAACGATTCTGTGATTCTGTGATTCTGTGATCTCAGCAACTGTGGGATCTGTTACTGCTTCCTGGTCTTTTCAGATCTTCACGCAGAGCTTCACTGGGAATCAACCACTGGCTCCTGGGATAGCTCCAGATTGCGATGGATGCTGTCACTGGTGCTCTGCTCAGTATCTTTCTACTGTTCCCTGTCTATACATTTTTAATTATGTGACCCTTATGTCCTTTCCCTTTTTCCATTTGTCCTCCGGAATCAGTTGGTTTTATTCTTGTTTTTCATTCCCTTTAGCCTTTGTCTCCACAGGAGAGCTTTAAGGTTGGGATTAGGCTAGCAATAGGCCTGAGAATGACAGTCTGGTAGGAACAGTGGCCATCAGCAGGTGCCTAAAGAAGAGTAAGAGAAGAACAAACATTTGAGATACCTATCCGTAGTAGTCTACTATCTTCTGGCTTGTTTCCTCTGATTTCAAGGACTTGCTCAGTCTTCCCTTGGAGCCTTGTAAACTTTCTACTGCACCGTGCTCTGGAAATGAGGTCTGCTCTGCCCCTACCTATTGTATGAAAAAACAAGTTGTAATGTTTGTTTTGGGTGGGGCTTCTACTAGCTTCATTTCATAGCTTCTAGTTCTTATATTGGATGAGATGGTTACCAAGCAGGCCTATCCACCATGCCATTTTTTTGTAATGAGGTATGTAGACATCTATCATATTTCCCTTTGCATGCCAAAGTCACTTCTGTCCAGACTGAAGACTTCTTGCCTGCTCAATTCCTTGTATAGAAGCCATTCCAGCCCTTTGATTGTCCTTGAGATAAGGAGACCTGAACTGCACGTTATATTCAAGAAATGGGAAAGCCGTATAGGTTTACAGAGTAGCACAGTTTGTGTTCTTTCTTGTTGTCTGATTCAGATTTTAAATGATAAAAATCGTTTAATTTGATTTTTTTGATTGTTGCCCAGCCTTTTTTTAATAGAAGAGGCTTATTTAGGGCTTATTTATCAGTATTTAAGACGTCAGTACCTCAGTTGCAAAATGATGTTCTTAGGTAATTAATGCATTGTGCAGCTAAAACGAAATGTTTTAGCATAAAAGTGATTATGATAGTGATTAGTATTCTCAAAAGAGTCCAAAGAGAGTTAGGAACACATTATCTTTTTTAAGAACTTACGAAAGCTGCTAAAGGTTTGAATGCTTCTGTTTAAACCTTTCTGGAAACATTTTTTAATGGTTCTAGAATTGACACTTCAGGGCTTACTGTTCCTCAGTGCATTTATAATAGTCCAGGCAGGTATTTCTAGCCTCAGTGATTTGTGAGTCAGTGGGTCTTTGTAAGCTGCATCACGTGGTATAACATTCAACCTTCATCTCGCAGTGTGCCTCAGTTTCCGCATGATTTTAGAAGCTGAAAATTGAGAAAATCTTGAATGGATAAATTAACTTATTTAGCACAGATTTTCCCTAGAGAATATTTTTGCTGGATCGAGAGAAAATTGAAAGAGAAAAGAGGCTTCAAAATACTTTTCTTAAAGACAGCTTTGACTGTATGCGTTAAGATCTTAGTGCAGGAAATATTGGCATTTGATTAATTTAAGCTGTAGACAGGAAAGTTGGTAACTGTCGAGTAGACCACAAAAATGCAGGTTTTCAAGCAACTTCTGGCAGTTATATTTTCCTTTATCTCTAATTTCTTTTCTTACCACAGCCATTATCTATTTTATGTTCTGGTTTCTTTCAAGGTAGTTCTTATTTCTTATCTCATTTTGAATTTTTTTTCTGGGTATTAAAGAATCTCTAACATAAGTGATTTTCAGTCTACCTACAAAGAAGCTCTTCTGTGTCAAATCACACCAACTCTTCTGATCTTTGAGTTTTCTGAATATAATTCTGGTTACACTTTCTGCTCCTATAGTTTTAATTGCTGTGTTATTTCCAGAAGTGTATAGCAAAAGGAAATCGAAGAACAAGACATATGACACAGTAAGTAGAAACCAAGTACACAGATTTGCTTCTTATAGGCATTCTGTAGACAGATGGCAGAGGCTTAGTGCCAGGTTCAGGCACTTATCTTGAGATTATTTGTGGTTTTGTATTGGCTTTGGTTATTTTCAGTACTTCTGGCCATCCAGCTATACCTCTTATCAAGAACCTCTTCTCCACATTTTCCTCTCTACTTCTTTTTCCTTTCCATCACTGGTTTTCAGTAATAAATTTTGTATTAGAAATCAGCTCTAATATATTGATGTAGCTGTAATTTTCTTCAAGAACTTGCAAAATAGACATGTATTCTGTCCTTTCAGACTCTTGATGACCTAATAAATAATGAAGGCAGGTTGTTCTTGCTTCACATTGCTTAGACATGTTAGTAATAAGTGACTACTATTCAGTTCTTTACATTTCAGATTTTTTTTAAAGTTTTTTTTTTAAACTTGGTTGTGAACAGAATATTGATTGTCCTGACGCTTCCTGGAGTTTAATCTTTCGAGATGATTTCTTGTGTAATCCATTACTAGCTGAATCTTTCAGTAGCTTCAAGAGAAAATTCAGAGCATACTAAGCCACCATACCTGCAGATGTTTACTTTATGTAAAAAAAAAAACACTTTGACAATTTTTATAGTAGCTGCACATGATGGTTTATGGTACATTTCATCCTCTCCTTTTATGTATACAGATGGAAATGTTATGAATTTAGGTTGAGGCTCATCCTCTCTTTTGCAGTCTGTTCAGTGATTGATCTGATCAGATCAAACAAGAATTTCTTCAAGGCCATCCATCAGTGCTGGCATCAACTGAGCTAAACCTTCTAACTTGCTGCTGTCAACCAGTCATGAGAGATTCCTGTCATAAATACTGAATGTAATGTATAAACAACTGTTTAAATTAGCTGTCTTGCCTTTTTTGGAAGACATTTAAGTGGAAATATACCCTGATACTTTTTTAGCTGGCGTGATTAGATGATAATAAGTATCACCACATTAACAGTATTTAATCTACCTAACAAGTACGTAAATAGATTGGGGATGAAAAAATTCAGTGAAGCATAGTAAAACTAGAACTAAGGTGGAGTGTGTGTAATATGTGCAGCTTTTTTGAAGCCAATTAACAGTAAAGCTGTTAGTAATACTGGATATAGCCATCTGTTGTAAATACAGTAGTCAATTGTTAAATTGTCGGTATTATGAAATTTGCTACCTTTCTGAAAAAGCAAAAGTTAAGTCGATGTTTGGAAAATAATTGTTCATAAAAGAAAACACCATCTGGCTAGTGTTGGCATTCTTGATTTATCTTCCAGAGTATGAGCATTTGCAGGTGCTAGCACTTCTGCTTGGTGTTTTATCAAGAACATGAACATTCATTCTTGTTAAAATACCGTATAGCCACTCATTTGTCATACTTTATTTCTGAGATGTTTAATTTTAGATGTTAGGTATCATGTGAAATTAGGTCATGTTACTGTAAGTTTTACAGCAAATGAGTGAACTTGTTGAGGTGAGAAACCATGTTTAAAATTGTACTATAGCCTCCAAAAAAAAAGAAGGTACGGTGATCTGAGAAGAGTCATAAGCTCTGTTCCCGGCTGTACTACTGAGATGCTACTTGGCCCTGTGTAAGTCCCTGTAAGTCCCTCCAACCGTTTTTTTTCTCCAGTCTCTTCATCCAAGTTATGGGAGTAATACGTATCAACTTATTTTGAAAGGATAAATACAAAGACTTAACTAATTCATAGCGATATGATACTTTTAAACATATGAAGGGCTAAAAATAGGAAAGATAGTAAATGTTAAAATCTGGTAGTTTGTCAAGTCCATATTCATTAATATGCAGGCTCCTATCTGCTGGGGGTACAAATTTCAGATTTTAAGTACTATCCCGTCACTGAAAAGTGCCCAGTTTAGGGAGATAGCATGTATGACCAAGAAGAGAAGTTTCCCAGGTTTGTATTTGGGTGCCTAGACAGGACATCAGATAATAATAACAAAATGTGTTCATACTGATATGTTCTGTCCCCTTTTTATGTCCCCCACTTCTAATTCATGCATCTCAAAATACTGTACAAAGGAAGTCAATATCATAATCTCTGTGATGGATGGACATCTTTGTTTCTCCTTAACATAAAGAAACTAAGTCACAGAAATGGTAAGGTGACCCAACAAAGTTAGTGGCAGAACCAGGTATAGTACTTAAGTCCTGATCCGTTGCTGGAGATGTTAAAAGATACTGTCCATTACAATGGTGGCCAGCTTTATGGCGCTTCAGCCTGCAAATTTAAATCTCCAGATGGTCAACAGCTATGAATCATGCATGACATACCTTGTAAAGCTGAGGAGGTGTGAGATCTCCTGTGAGATCCCTTCACCTCTGTGGCATGAAAATCTGCATTGCAAAAACAGACATGGTCAGTGCAAGGTGCTTCTCAGTCACAAAGAATCCTGCTCCTGTGTTCCAGAACTCAGTGCCCAGTATTAATGCGCTGCAGGATTCTGCTTTGTTGCCCCTTCCTTTAGTTACTCACCACTTTATGTACTGTCTTGCTAACTTGAATGTGCTGAGAGTCACAGCTCTCGTCGTTCACTCTAATATTAACTGTTTCTTTATTCTTTGTAATGTTTCCACCTTTCTTTTGAGGCTCTTTTTAAGGCTATGTCTTCCAATAGCAAAATAATTAGCAGGTTTGCTCAGATAGTAGTCCACTGTACATAGTAGGATTCTCCTTAGAATAGGGCTTTACAGACCTTCACCATCTCCAGAAGGCATCGGAGTTTGTTTCTGTAATAAAGAGATGAATCTTACACTATGCGCTGTAGTCAGTTATTTTTTACTGTATCAATATAGACTTGTTTATGTTTAAATTAAAAATAATTATAGCAGGAAAGTGAGGGTGAAAGACTGTGTTATTTGCCCTGGAAAAATATATATAAAAGTAAGGCTTTCATTTTAAAATATAAAATGATATGTGAAGTTATGTCTTAAGGCATGAACTAGAAGTACTTCTACTTTTTTCAGTAAGTTATCTGTCAGATCTTGTGGCAGATTCTCCATCTGAGTCATGCTATTTCAGTATTTTTACCTCTTCCCTTGTACATGATAGCCATTCCATTTGGAACGTGAAGGAGGTCTTTAGTGCAGTTTATCTGAATATGACTCAGGAGAGCAATTAGGTAATTACATCTGTGCAAATAGTAAGGTAGATGTCCAAATGCTTTCTCTATTTTATTGTCACTTTGCAGGATTTTGTCAGCGATTTATGATTCTGTTATTTAGAAGAAACCGAATTAGGAGTTATTACATACAGCATCAGAAACTCTCAGATCTTCTTTTTTTTTCATAAAGAGGTTTTCTGTTCACATCCTTTGCTATAAAAGAAAGTCTGTCATTTGATTAATTAAGCTATTAAGCTTTATCTTTAATTTTCCAGCTTGACTGATGGATGGAAGTAAAGAATTTTACTGTATTTTAGGATCCAAGAAAAAACTTCTGAAAATCCAAATTTAATGTTACTGGGTGCTTGTCACAAACATGAGCTTCTGTTGGAACTGTTTGGATACAGGAGTGCTTTACGATGGAAAGAAAGAGGTCTTGTTGACACGCTAAGGAAAACATACAGAGTGGAGATCAGTCCCCACTATAGGACTACTTTATTCTGGGGAGCAATGTGAAAGAAGGTAGCAATGAAATTTGCCGGGAGTACTGAAAAACAGCAACTATCAGCTGGTGCAGGAA